TTTTTTGTAATACCTGACAGTCAAAGATTATTTTTCTTTTCCTTTTCATAGTGATTTATTAATAATTATTTTGAGAGTTTTTATTCAGATCTTTATAACAAAGGTCTCGATTACCAGCAGAATTTTTTGTATAGTTTCTCTTCCTTTCGATTAAGTGTAATTTTGTATTCGTCCGACTATGAAAAGATTGTTATCTTTATAATTTTTTTTCTCACTGTTTTATTTTATATGTATAATATTAAGATTCCAACGTTTACCGTATCTTTTTTACGTATCTTATGTCCCTTATCTTTACCTTTCCTTTTTTTTCTGTAATTACCATTCTATTTCCCCAAGTATACGACTCTTTCGTGCGGGCCTTGCAAAGTTCCCTTAAGACGACTCGGTCATCCATCCTACTGGGTACTATTTTCAGGGTGTAGCGACTGTCTCAAAAACACCCCAGATGTTGTCAAGTTTAATGAAAAGATATTTTTTTAATAAACCATCTAACTCGTTGTACAGAACTTTTCATAACCGCCAGTGACTTTACCCGACGAGTTGGCCAGATGTTGGCTTTCCTTTGGAAAGGAAGTCCTTGGAAGTCCAGACATAACAAGAAAAATTAACTATTTATTTAAAAAATCAGATAAGTGGTGCTTCGGCATCCTGGGTACTCATCCCATCGGAGAAGACCCAGAGAAAAAATCTCCTTGACGACTATCTTTATCCAGGAGGCTAGCACGCTAACCACTAAGCCATAGAAGCTTCTTTTTCTTACTACTATACTCTTCTCTTACGTATGGTCTAAGTCCACCCTCCCTATAATATTAAAATTCTTATGTTGTCTAAAGCACACTTATTAATAATTACATAATCCATTATTATATCTTCTTTGGAAGTTACATACTTGGATTTATCTTGTTTATAGTCATCTGCCTACCGTCCATTATTTTAAGCCCTTTGCTGTTTATTATGTATACTACATGCCTAATTTCATGGCTAACCACGGTGTCCACAATATTATTATTTTTTATTTTTGTTACTCTAATTTGTACTTCACTAGATTTGTACACTGATAATACATTTAAAATTTTTCAGTTGCTTTTAAATTAACACATGGAAATATTTTTCTCAAACACTTTGTTATTTCATTTTTAATCGTTTTTTCCTTATTTTTATTGAAAACCTTTTTTTGGCCTTAATTTTTTGTTTTCTCAAACTACCACAATCTAATTACACAATTACTCAATTCATAACTCAATCTGTTTCAGAAACTTTCTTCTAGTTATCTAGACTATCTAGAAACAAAAAACGTTTTTACATGATGGACGTACAAGGCAACTAATTGAAGATCAAATTAAAAGCCTCACGATAGAATAACTGTATAATAGACGCTGTTCTGATGCATAGACAACTGGAGTGAGTTTAATCTTACAATGCTTCGTCTTATATAGGAAATATCAATACCAAACTTGTTTTCGTTTTATAGAATAGTGATAGCGTAGTTACGATTTATATGAAGAAAAAATGTGTAGTACAGGTACAAACATAAAAACCTTACTAGAAATAGGTTCTGCCTAAAATTATTGCATCAATATAATTTCAACGCAGTTATTATTTATGTTACGTACTAGAAAATATAATACTTAGTATTATACTATAGTAGTGATGTATAAAAAACGATAAAAAATGATGTTCACAACGTTATAATATCTAAGTGCCACTTAATTTAAAAAAGATCGCTTTTAATAACACAACTGAACTGAAAAGAGAAAAAATTATGTTCACAACGTTATAATATCTAAGTGCCACTTAATTTAAAAAAGATCGCTTTTAATAACACAACTGAACTGAAAAGAGTAAAAAAAGGCACATACAAAGCGAAAAAAAAAAATTTGTAAGTAGGCTATGAAAAAAATGTAAATATGGTTTGTGGTATCAGTAATTATAACGTCAGTTAGAAGCAGGCTGCAATAGATTTGGATAAGAGAAGATCTTACATTTAGAACTGTTATAAATCATATTCTGATATAAAGTTAACTCTTTTAAAAATCGACCTTTAGAAAAAATTTAAAAGCGTAATGCCTAGTTAGGTTTAAATAACTTTTTTTTTTTAATCCTTTCTTACAAAAATAATGAGATTTACAATAAACCTTTGCTACACTTAGATTTGCGTAAACTATCGGAAATGTATTTAAGCTTGGCAAAATATAACGATGGATCTTCTTACTTTTTTATAAAAGAACTAAAAAAAATGTATTACTATACTTTGATAAGATTTTGTTACTTTTTGTAAAAAGATTTACATATCATTCAACAAGACAATTAGTGGTTTAATTTTCAGAGTGCTTTACGAATGTCTTTCTAAACATTTTTTAAATAAAGTACCTAAAAAAAAATTCGATCAGTCTACAGAATCACGCATGTTTTATTATACGTAAGATCAGTTTTTTTTAGGTGAAAACTTCCTTAGTCATATTTTATAAAAATTAAAAAATTATTCATAGTACTATTTAGTACATTTAACCAAACAATTTTAGTTTTCAGTTAAAATAGTAAAGGCCCGAACAGAAATGATAGTCTGTTGCCTCTCTAGTTTGTGAGGCCGTACTTAGGCAGCCTACTAAGGGCATACGTAGGCGTGTCAGGGGGCGTGCGTGAGGTACTCATTAGGCATCCTACATAACCTACCTTTATCTTACCTCTCGAATTGTATATACAGTTGTATCAGCTACAGTAGCAGTGTAAACGGTAGCGTAAAATTGTACAAAGGTACACAAGTTACAAGTGTTTTCCATTGAGTCCTATTTAAATAATTAATGAGTATTTTTGTACATAAATATGAGACTGAACAAAATCAATCAACATTAAATTTGCTGTCAACCAAACAAAGTTTCTCAATGTATCAAATTAGAAAAATAGTTTTTACTTTAAAATATTTCAACAAAAACTATTTAAAAACCGTACTAAGATTATGAAATTTTCACATCCAACAGTTTGCACACTGTCATTTAGCTGTCCACTAGATAGTGATGATTAAAAATTCATAAAATTTTGATTACGATGATCATTATTACTAGTAAAAAGACAGAAGAATCTAAACATATCGTTATACACTTTTAAGTGTTAGAACCTTTTATTCTAAGGCATAATAAATTCATTTAGAATAAAGAAAAAAAATGTAACTGTCAATTTTGTTTCAGCATCTCTTTGTGACCCATCTTAAATTTCAGAATAGAACTGTCACGTTTTTCTTGGTTCAAGCTTTTTTTCATTTTCAAATTTTATTTCAACTTTAAGATCACCCGCTATTTCTTTTGCAATGAATTTGATTTTTTTAAATACCTAATCTGATTGCATGTCTTGTAATTGTTCTTTAATTTGTGTTGTTACTTCAATTGCTTCAGTAATACTCAGATTTTGTTTTTCTAAAAGTTTGCTTATATATTTGTTTGAAATACAACTTCTTGCTAAGTCACAGTCATATGTATCAATTTTAAACTCTTTAGTTGTTTAGCTCAGCTCACGGTAAAGTGTTTAGAAGTCTTATCGACTCTTTGATCATGTTTCAACTCGAATAACGAATCGTTAATTTCTACAATTTCATAACAAACAGGAGTGATTTCGTTGACTCAACTCTTCCATGGAGTATTTAGTAGAAGTTTAACAGTCACTTGAGGTAATTTTTTTTTTTTATATATACTGACCATTTGTGCGTAGAAATAGATAAAAAGTTATATACTTCTTTAATAGTATTAATAAAAGATATAGTTCCGATTAATCGATATAAAGATCTAATACTGCACACCAGAACGTTACACTTCCATGTTATTTTCTGATGTTAATTTGACTTGAATAAATCCTTTAAAATGCTAATAAATGTTTTAATATTCAGTAAGTAAATAATTATGAACAATACATAACAGCACAGTATAGTATAAAAAATTCGTAAAGTGGCCAGTACAAGACTGTGACGCGCTTTCATGGAATCTTCCGATGATTTCAAAATAACTTCCTACCTCCTATACTAATTACATCCCTTATCCTCCTAATTACCTCCCACTATCCCAGTCAGAGTAAAGTAAAAGTATTTTTTTATTAAATAAATGATTTATTACTGTAATTCATAATTAAGTTGAGTGAATACTGAAACGGCAAATAAAAATTTACATCAAAAATAAGTTATGAACCACACAATAAAATGAAGTAATCGAATTTTTTATGTCCGGACCACTCATAACGGAGTGGGTAACGGTTTTGGCTAGTGTGTAGGAGATCAAGGATTCAAAACCTTTTTTTTTTTAGAATTGGTTAAAAGAGATAGAATTTTCAAAATTTAAAACGTGTGGTGGCTTAACGTGGTGTTGCGTGATGTGGAGGAAACCAGCATGGGACGACACACAAGGGGGGGAGGGTAATGGGGGAGTAACGAGGGAAGTCCACTTCCTTTACACTTTTTCTGAAGGTCAGAAATCGGAAATCATTGATTTACTCTAACGCATAACGCGCCCATAGTAGTATAACTTCAAAAACTGATCTTACATATAAAAAGCATGTTAATTTCTGGACGTACTGCAAGACATATATCTAGTCACTAATGTATACGTATATCTTCTTTTTTAAAAAATCAGACATGAATGTTACTACATAAATCAGCTGGCGAGACTCATATATTCATGTTATGTTTACACAGCTTCAGTGAAACAGTGTATAAGTTAAGCACTACTACCATACTGACACCGTTATCAACGTTATCAATAAAGACAGAAGCAGTAACCTTGGCCACAAGGAAGGATCTTTTTATCCACGCGGCTTTTTTCAAGTAATATATGCCTGTTAAAAAGTATTGTATACATTCGTTGAATAGCAGTAGCCAGTCTAGTAATTAAAATTTCATGTGACTTTCAGAAAGTCCGCTAACAGTTTGGTGTCAGAAGTATTGATTAAGCGATAAGACAGAGGAAAAGAAGAAGATCAAAGTTATTTCGTACCCTGGTTTTTGAGTAGAGCAGTCAAAGATGGCAGACAGCGAGGGGGGCTCTGAGCAGGATGACGTCTCGTTTTTACGCACGGTAAGTTGACTCTTGTTTTTTTTAATAGGTATTGCATACAGAGAATGAAAAATAAAAAAAAATTCATGGGTTTTGAGATTTTACGCAATGTTGGTCAAGCTTACGTGGACTAAAAAAATATAGCACCAGACCAGCTGATGGCTGAATGCTGCACTTAAATTTTGATCTATGAAATTTTTACAGCTGCAGGTTCTTATTTTTATTTAACATAAAAAAATGTGGCTTATAATTTAAAATGCTTTTGCGCTACTTTTAAAAGGTAACAAACTGTTACTATCGTAATAGATCAAAAAGTATAATAATTTAAGTATACTATTTCTCTCACATAAAATCATCACGTTGACGACAATAATTTCATAAAACTTTTTCATAATTCTAATTCTTATAACCCCAGAAAAATGGATGTGACACCCCTCTTAAGACAGAAATAATTCAGATAAGACTAATATGTATTTAAATATATGTATAAATAAATAGAGATAAGAATAATAATGTTATTAAGGACATAGATATAGATTATACATGTTAATATACTGACTAAAAACTTCAACTGAACTCTGCAAACCATTAATAATTATTATTAACATAGAGTTATTGAAAAAATCATGGAATCTTTAGGTCAAGTATTCGCGATTTTACGTTTTTAATATTAAGGTTCCCTGAAATATGTTTTATTGTATATAAAACTTTTATCATTTTTAAGTATGTATATTTAATGTTTGATAGATAAAAAAAAAATATATAGTTTCCTATTTCTTTAGTAATAAAGTTTTATCTTAGCTTCCATTTAAACTAGTTTAAATTGCATTACAATATGTAGCTTTAGTGTACAATGATGTAGCACCGTTAAAATATTCAACCAATACGTCGATTTATACTACCAAATTTTATCATAGAACCAAATTTATGTGTTAATTGTAGCATTATATATGTTTATACAAAATGGTAACAATCAACACATTTATGTTACCCTGATTTGGTCCAAATAATGCTTTGAAGTTGATCGATACTGTTATACCTTAGGAATTATTTTATTAGGTTATAAATTAATAGAAGTTATTAAATAATATTCTATACATTTACAAAAATTAATAAAATATCTTTACAAGGTTTAAAACTAATTAAGCACCAAATATTATAAGTTATATTTAGAGACAATATAACTTTACAACTTAGCGTGTCATGTATAGCTTACATTTGAATTAGAAAATTTTTTTTGAAATTCACAAAGAGATTTTGTATAGATGTATATAAATCAAAACTGGAGACAAACTAGAATTTTCATTTTATTATAAATAGTTAATCATAAACGATCATTTCAACGATAAAATGCCTTTACTTTTTTTTGCAAAAAATTTTGTATTGAAGTTTTTAAGAAGTTGGTATAATATTAATTAAGCCTCAACTTTTTTTTGGATTTTATGGGCTCAAAATTAACGTTCATCCCGTTCTAATAATTTTTTCATGTTCGTATAATTTAATCTTAGTGAAAAAACTATGAAGCTGATTGCAAGTGGTAATATTAGAGACAAACTATTTTGACATTAGGTTAAGGTAAACATAGCCAAAAAATTTGTACGATTTAACAAAAATGCTGTTTTGTCTACTTTTTAAGGCATAAGTAAAATTTTATTTTTGCATCTTATAAAAAGGAAAAAATAAACCTCTGAAGTATTTTTAAGATTTTTGAATGGTGCAATATGATATAAAAATCAAAAAACCAAAATAATCTCCACGTAAATTTTTGCTCCTAACCGAAAACCAATAATAATAAATTTTGCGTAGGGTTATACGTAAAAACAGAGTATTTTACATGATAAAAAATTCTGGAATATCTCTTATGAATAAATCCAAAGTCCGTACCACTAGTTAAAAAACAACGCTTTTTATGTTTTATTTTTTGTTTTAATGTTACGATTACTAAAACTTTTTTAAACAATTCAGCAGCATAGTTTAAATGATAAATTTTAGGTGAATTTTATAAGAGTACTTTTGGAAATACGTAGTATGCATTTTTTTATTTTATTTTCTAGAACAAACAAAACTAAAACTTTTTACAAGTATTCCAAGATTTTTTTTATAAGCGTAACATAACCTAAAATTTGGAAAACTGTTATTTTAGAAATCTATCCCTATAAAATTTGTCACAGCGCTTTGTCTCTTATTTCTTTTATGCTGCTGAGAAATCGCTAAGGTCTCCTATTTAAAAAAAAAGCATTTTTTTAAGATAGTACTTTCAACAACAACAAAAAAAAAGCTTTTCGGCTATAACCTTATTACGGGATAAATTTGAGGTTTTACTATGAAAGACAAAGTTGTAGGTATAATTGAGATATGACTTTTTTGTATTCGTCATTCTTTTTTAGGATGTAACCCAACGTTCTGTGACCCAAAAAGTGGTAAAAAATTACAAAATATAGTGTTCCCTATCTGACTTGTTTGTTTCATATTTTTGATTACAAAACTAAAAGTAAAAGTTGTAGTTCTTATTTCAATGCAATTTTTTTGTATAAAAAAATTTTGACCTAGGATGTCACCTAAACGCTCTATGAGCCAAAAAGTGCTTGTGAATTGAATAAAAAGTCTTGGTTTCCTATCTAACCTTTTTGTTTTTTATATAAAAAAAGACATTAAACGTAAGAAATGTAGGTCTTGTCTAAGTATAAGTTTTCTGTACTTAATATATTTAGTTATATCAAATTGGCGTTTTTAATCGCAAAATCATAGTTTTCTCGTATTTAACTTACTCATTCTACATTTACGATTACAAAGTTAATGTAAAACTTATGTTGACTCTTTAAGTCAATCGAATTATTGACTATAATACGCGGAGCAACTGCCACAAATTTTGCCATGGTTGATACTTAGTAAAGGAAAGAAAAATAAAATAAACTGCAAGAACAATTTTCTTAACTCATGAAACGAAATTGACTTTATTTGTTTTACCTTTCGAAAGGTCTCGAATAATATAGTTGCCTGGCTGCTCGCAAAACACTCACCTCCTATCTCTTCTTAGTAAATTTACAAAATACCTGCGCTGTGTTACTAATCTCGCTCGCAGATGTTGAGGTGAGACGAAGGCCTGGATTTGACGAAGAAAAAACGATGTATTTGTCGGTGCCTCCAAAAGGCTGCTCGTTGCTGATGAAGTCCACGGCAATTGATAAGTTGTAGTTTTGTCGCTCTCTCGAATCTCCAAGTTTGAAGAAGAGTCGACTCCGTGGCTTCCCAGTCGCTTGCTCCGGCCGAACAGAACGAAAAACTGAACTCTAATAAGTAAGCCTCGCACCATCGACTACCTCAAGAAATTTTCTCCCACGCATAAGGAAAAGCGAGCTATCCTTGTCTAGTTAATACCTAACAACACACAGACTCACACGGAAAGAGCATACCTACTACTCAAATTACAAATTTACTCTCTACTCTTACAGCTCTCTCTCTCTTTTTCTCATACATTTGAACAACTTACTCGTTCTACATTTTTGATTACAAAGTTAATGTAAAACTCAGAGATCTTAAAAAAAATTTAACATTTTAGTATCCATTATTTTGGTCCATAAGATGAAATTAATGCCATAAATTGCAAAAAATGATGAATCAATACTTCGTTCATAGGAAATTCGATTGACACTTGAGGCAAAGACACGAAATTTTTTTATCAACCATGCAACGAAAAGTACCGACTTTTAAATTTCGAAGAACAGTAATATACTTTGTGTAATAAACTGGGTGTTAATTCACAAATTTAGCCGTTTGTTTACATCAACAAATGTGTTTCAAAATTACAGTTATACTTAAGATTAGTTTTTTTAATATATTATTTAAGGTTTGTATCTAAAATAAAACACCACTTGGTTTTCTTAAGCTAAAATTTTTTCTTTATGTACTAGTCAATGTTTTGTCTCGTCATGGAGACCTTTTGAAGACTGTCACTTTTTCACGCAAAACCTCACGCACTATAAACCAGTAGTTTCATTCTATATAGAAACCATGTTATAAATAAAGGAGAGAAACTTTTACGATAATAAACTGTAGGTAGACACGTCACACTGACGGACAAACAGGCAATGAGTTTTTTATGTACTTCATGGCATATAATTTTAATCTTCGTTACTATCTTTGGCAATTACAGGACAAATATTGTCGATACAAAAAAGATTTGCTAGAATTTCAGCTAGTTGTTAGAACTTTCATCTGAATTTTATGAAAATATATTTTAAAAATACTGAAACTTAAAGTTACGTCGTAATATAGATGAACACCTTTCTAATTAGTATGCCACGATGATTTTCTTATCTTGTATGGAACCCATAATAGGTGTTAATTTTTGTTTGTCTGGCTTCTTGTTTAAAATTCTTTTTATGCTCTAAAGTTAAATTACATGACAACTCATTGAATATATAATAAAAAAAATTAAAATTAAAGAATGAAAATGAAAAAATTTTTTGTTAATTGCTCACTACATTTAAATACAAAGAATAACTTGTCTTTTAATGTGTGTATTGGACACACACGCATGCAAGCACTTTCACATACATTTTTGGGCCTTATGAAACTTGCAAAAATTATTTGTTATTAGAGATTTTTGTTCGATTTCATAAGATTTTTTTCAACTAGCTACATAGAGCTCACAAAATTTTATTTCCCTGATTTATTGAAGGAAATTGCTTAAATTTGAAAAAGTATATATAATATAATATTTGAAGTGCGTTTCATGTTTGATAAATAATAGATATGATTTTATTTTTTCTGATCCTTCATACTATATAGCATTATATTGTATGTATTGTATTAGGCTGACATGGGAAAAATGTTTCTTAAATAACTATGATCAGAGACTTTCTTTTTTTTTTTCCTTCTCGATAAGTGACAATGTACTACTGTTTTATTTTTGACATTTTATCAATTGGTGTGTCGACATCTTCAGGCTTTTAAATTATAGTAATAATTCAGTTACAGTGATTGACGTAAAACATACACACATATAAAATTTAGACTAT